CCCCGCGCCCCCGCAGCTGGCCGGCGCCGCGCGCGCAGCCTGGCCTGTCGCGACCTAGCCGAGAAAGCCCCGCCGCCCGCGCACCCCGCACCACGCTTGCGCCCCGTATTCCTGTGGGCACGGCAGCGCGACGGCACCGTGCAAGAGGTCCGCTGTGAAGACTACGATCCGCGTAACCGTATCCGTATCGCGCGTACCCCGACCGGTTGGCGAGTTATCCCGCGTACTAAAATCTTTGACTCTATATTTGTGACGAGCGCTCCGGCGCAAGAACCTTCGGAGCCCAGTGCTCCCCAAGAGCGGCGCCGGCGCCGGCGCCCCGGCAGGCCGCGGCGGAGGCGCACGGACGCGTCAGCGCCCGCGCCCGCCTGGCTGGCTCCCGACCTGGAGTCTCACATCCCTTCACACACAATCGCGGTGCCGCGCGTGCCGCCCGCGCCACCCACTCCGCCCGCGCCGCCTGAGCCTACTCCACTCGACAACTTGCTCGCGGTGGCCGAGCTGGAGTTCAACCAGCAGCGCGGCGAGGAGGCGCTGGAGTTGGAACTGCAGGCGGGAGCCGCGCAATACCCCTTCCTGCCGGAGGCGGAAGAGGTAGCGCGCGACGTCATGTCGTTCGAACTCGGCGAGCCGAAGCCACCCGACGACATGTTCTTCGAGCAGCGCAAGCCGTCTGAACATACTCCTGAAGAAGATGCTTTCCATACTGACATGGGAGTACACAAAGACCTATTTGAGACTATTAGTGAAGCACATTACCTACCCGAGCTCGGCGGGCCTCACGACGAAGCTCTACTCGAGTCACTCGTAGAGAAGGGTTGTGAAGATAATCAAATACTTGGGCAGGCGCTAGACAAGCTGGCGCACCTCGTGCACGGGTCCGGTGACTACGCGGAGGAGGAGGACGACATGTTGCTCGGTGGCGCGCCAGTTGCTGACATCATCGACCGGCTCGAGCAGTCGCTGGAGTCACCGAGCCGCAGCAGCATGACGGCTGCGCAGGGACTCCTACACCTGCACCACATAGGCGACCACCTCCCAACACCCGACCAGCAACAAGCTATCGAACAGTCTTATATGACGGACGAAGTTTTTGCGCCTGCCGAGCCTTCAACAGAATGTGCGCTTGAAACATTATCTACAGCGTCACAGATGCAAAGCGCAAGTGAGGTTAATCATTTAGAATATGATCAAACCGCCGAGAAGAGGCTACAAGATGAAGTCGACAATGTCGAAGCAATGTATACTGAACAAGTACCTGAAATACCCGCAACCTCAGAGGAACAAATAATTCAACCGTTACCAGATCAAAGTGAAGAAACTTTACCCTGTGAATTGCCGACACCGACACCGACTGAAGAAGAACCTACTGAAAATACGACCAATAATGTTACTCTCAAAATAGAAACGGAGGACCCAGTTTGTGATGAAGATGGTAATTTTACAAGTACTATTAAAGAGGAAGATACCAGCTTAGATTTCATGAAAGACCTAGATGATCCATCAAATGCCGTGGAATTGGTAGCTACTGATTTGAGTGTCAAAAATATTAAAAATAGTAAAAAGTCTAACCGCATAGTAGCTAGCGTTGCTGAAACCACAAATACCACGGAAGAGAGCCTATCGGAAAAGGGTGACGATCAACCTAAAGACCTGAGTGTGCAAAGAAGACTGCCTACTCCGCATGCGTCACCGAGAAGGATAGACATACCGCGAGCGCCATCCAGAGAGTCGGATGCAATGCAGTCGCCTCAACCGAGCGGCATCCCTGCCGTGCCGTCCTCACCAGAGATATTCACAATGCCGCAGTCGAAGAGCAAACAGTCACTGTTCTTAGAAACATTGCTGTCATCGCCGTCGCCTAAAATGTATACATCTGAAGTGACCATTACAAAACAGCAATGCGAACCGTTAAATTTGGGCAAACATCGGAAATCAGCCAGTCCAACAGTAACCAGCTGTTCAGACGAGATGAGAAAGTTAAATAAAGAGTTTGGTGAACCCCAGGAGAAGAAAGGTAGACGAGAATCTACAGACGATACAGTTAAAATTAGTAAAGTGTACAACAAATGCGATAGGGACGAACATTTAGCTGAAAGTCACGCGAAACTATCGAAGAAAGCTGACAAGGAAGAAAGGCTCTCTGCCAAATATATTGAGAAGATGAGTAAACTGAGCCCGATCGAACAACTACATAGCCTAAGGTCGAATTCCTCAATTCCGGATGCGTTACTAATTCCTAAAAACAAGCTAAATAGAATTTTCGCCGCACCTGCTATCGAAATTCCTCAGATGCTAATCAATTGTCCAGAATTAGTAATACCACAAGCCTTCGCATATCCACAACTTTTGCAAGATCCTGATATTATCATGTTGACACTTACACAAATAGAGGAAGCAATAGTGAATAATAAGCAACCCGAGTCACCGATAAAAGAGCCAAAGGCGCCAACACCAAAAAGTGCAATAAGTACGTCGAGTAATGATAACATGACGACTACAAGTCAGCCCGAACGTAGTAACTCTAATCCTCAATCCAAGCCGATACCGTCGCTAGCTGGCGACATCGACGCGGCGACCTTCAACCAAATGTTATGGTTACCTTACTTTAACCAGCTGGAGGCAATGACAGCGTGTTCGCAAAATATGGATTTCCTAAAAGCTCTCAATTCGTGTAGCTATGGCGCAGGGCAAAGTTACCCGGAGTTATCGCAAATATTTAACCCGAATTCTCGTTTTGCGGGACCAACAGGTTTCCCTGTGATGCCTCCGATGGACTACGAAAATCGAATTCAATATGCTATGTGGCAAGAGGCGATGAATCATTCAAATCAGCAACAAGCAAGACAAAGCCAGGCCAAAGTAAATGAGTGTCAGGTTAAAGATGTCGTGTCAAAGTCAATGGATGTGCAAAACCCATACGTACACTCGACAAAGAGTCATCATCAGAATAAGTCACACAGCAGTATGTCCTCACGTTCTAGTCCTATGGCTAACTACACCGCCAGCCAGCGGGCCGCCATGCAACATAATTCATTCCTGCAGAGCTTGTACCCGGGAATGAATCCTAATATGCGGCCGAACATGCCTCTGCCAGGCCTTCAAATCCCATATTTCAACCCTAACTTGATGGGCAGTCAGCGCTCGCCTAGAAGTGGGGGGCAAAAGAGCCCTACGTCACCGTACTTTCCGAACAACAATTATCTACAATCTATGAAACATTCCGAGGCGCAGCCTCACCAGAGAAGTAGTTCGACTAGCTCACAAGAGTCTCCGCGGCCGCGGATCAGTGTTAAATCGTTACAAAACTTGTTGGAGCCGAGTGCTGCGGCGTCGGCATCGTCATCGTCGCGGCGGGGCCATAACCCGTCGGCGTCGATGAGCCGGCGCCGCGAGGAGCCGGAGGTGGGCAGCACCACGCCGCTCGGGGAGCCGCCGCACCTGCCGCCGCACCCGCACGACCCGGCCTCCTACCACTTGTGGCATCCGCTGTTCGGCAAGTGAGTCACTTTCATTCATGTTTATAGCTTTACAAATATTTGCATGATCATGATAACAAATATTCGTATTTACCTTTGTGATTGGAGTTTCTTTGATTTCGTAATTACCATGTTCCATATAAGGTGCCTATGTAGACACCGCGGGCGGTCGTTCGAGACGTTGTGAATTCTAAGAAAATAATTAAGCATTACTTATAGTTACTTAAATAACACATATTCAATCAATTATTATAAGTTTATAACATGACTAGCTATTGCCCGCGGCTTTGGTCGCGTGGAAGTTTATTATATTATTATATTATGTATTTACAAATTAATTCAAGTTACAATTTTATAAGTTGGTACACAGTCATAAAACACGTATTAATTGTGTTTTAAATTTAAATTATTCGCCTAAATACGAAGTAAAAAATAATGCAAGCCCCGTACAAAATTTTAATCCCTATTTTATCTCTTAAGAAAATTAACAAAATTCGTAACACGTACCTACTTATTTGTTTTGCGCCAATATTACATTGTTCATTTTACTTTCAAAATGACGGAATTCATACATATCATCATCCCCCTATATTTTAACTCTTTAGGGATGGACTTTTCTCTGTCTGTCAGTCAGTCAGGACAAGTTATTTTATAAATAGCAGTCAATAGTCATTGTGTACTGTAATTATATGCCATGTTATTTCACACTTTTTAAAAAAAATTAGACATTTTAGATCAAAGTACATGCACACGTAATATAAGCATAGCATCAACAGAGCAGTTGGTACCAACGATAATAAAGTGGAAGAGACGTCGTTAGTCAATGTAGCACAATTTATACTTGAGCAATATTGTATTGTTTATTTATACTGGGCGTTTATTGGGTCAGGCCGGCGGGCAAAGCTAATTTTGCCAGAATCGATCGGCTTCCGAAATAGCGGTGAAGTTGAAGGGTTAATATGTAGGGCCTGTGGGTCAGTTCGTCCTGTCGTCGACGTTTAATTAGATCTCTGTTAAACGTCGTGTTATTGTCGAGACGAGAATAGAAGGAAAATCAAAGTTTGTATTACTTGATTACGATCAGAATTCACGAACAACCTAAATTAGTTTGAGAACTACCTGTATTTATGTATCGCTATTATCTTAATTAACTGCAGAACGAAAATGCATGGAAAATGTAAACAAGAGTAGAACGAATGTCCATTTGCTTCGACTATCAGTCAGACGCGGGCTATAAACCAGTAGTTGCTTCACGCATATATTTTAATTAAACTAAATGTTCGCTGCGTCCGACCAATAAAACAATTGCAATTGATATACTTCATTAATTAAATGAAGCGGACAAATTAACTGTGATACGCTACAAGACAAATTATTGTAAGACGTCGCTAACTGAGACAGTCTCCGATATAATTATGTTATTTGTTCGATAATTATAAAAGGTGGGGTCTAAAATAAAATTTATTTCAGTTTGTAACGAATACTCTAACTGACTGTTAATTACACATCTTCGTTTAAAAATGGCTGTTTTTTGAGAGTAACATTTATCCTAAATTATATCTATACTCGACGCCGGAAGGGGGGAAAATCATCGAATGACTGCTCCCGCCTGGGTGAGGCGGGAGGGAGTGTCAGACTCTTACTGACTCCGTGCTACTTACTACTTGGATTTTTTTCTAAACGCAGTAATCCTTTGCCGGACCTGAGGGCTTACTCTTGAGTCCAATTCCGATCGATCGACATTGGTATTGTGATATTTCGTACTCTTGAGTTGCAACAGTAGCGCCCATTGGATTTGTATTGCGTGGATATTTAATGAACTAAATGGTATTGAGTTTGGCTATAAATTCCGTATTCTAAATGCTACTTTGACAGCTACGATGGGGCCACGATAGTTATGACATTAGACAATTATTGAGATTTTATTGGATTGAAATTTCATTGACATTGAGATTGGTTTCAAGAGTAAGCAACCTGGGAATCGATACCCGAAACGATAGCACATACGACCACTCAGTCAACGAGGCAGCCTAAACTAAAACTATTCTTCGTAAAAAAGTGTATCCCTTAGCGACATAGTAATCATATAGTCTTCAATAACTTTACGAAGATTACCTGCTATGACACACGATGTTTACAAGTTCTTTAAGAGCTCGCTCGTTACGGTTTAACCATGCCTCGGTTTATTACATCTGTATTAGGTAGGTAGTTTCGGCTCTTATCTTGGCAATCTGTAAAATTTCAGTTGCAAGAAGCAAAATTTTCCGTTATCTGATCAATACCTTTCTGCCTCGCACAGCAAAACTAGAATGAGCTGTCGTTGGTGGTATTTCCGAACCGATACGACCTTCAAACCTTCGAGGAAAGAGCGTATTCCTTTTTAAAAGACCGGCAATGCAATTGTGACTACTCTGGTGTTGCGGGTATCTATGGGCGGCGCTGATCGCTTACCATCAGGTGATCAGTCTGCCAGATTATCTTCTATTCCTTAAAGAAACAAATATTTAAAATTAGCGACGCGCCCCGGCTTCGCACGAATGCAATATGCATGTATTATACATATAATCCTTCCTTAAGAATCACTCTATCTATTAAAGAAAACCGCATCAAAATCCGTTGCGTACTTTAAAGATCTAAGCCTACATAGGGACAGACAGACGGCGGATAGCGACTTTGTTTTGTAATATGTAGTGATGCTCCACGTGGCCTTCTATTACCTAAAAATTGATTGTGATGTCTATGTGTGTTCAAATTTGAAACTATCTATCAATAAAGTATTGTTAATAGTGATTTTTCCATTAATATATTCCAATTGACTGACGGATGTGCATTTTTTATTAGTTTCTTACCAAAATCGAAACGTCAATGATGCCGTTATTCTAGATCTGATAATAGCAAGTTTAAATGTCCATAAAGGACGCTTCTTTAATCTTCATCACCATCGGCTTATTTCTATTTCACTATCCTTAGTATTGACTAAAAACAACATCTTTCAATTTATTTCCTCTAGTATTTCACCATCAGGTAATCTGTCTCGATTGTCCCTATCCAATAAAAAATACACTACTATGAGTACTTAACGATTTCTAGTCTTCAAAACACACATACAAAGCATGTAATGTTACCACTTGATAGTCCTGTTCATCCAGTAAATGAGTTAATGTTTCTGCCATGAATCTCCCAGTTGCTTATTAGAGCTAATCAGCCGCCGTCTCTAGGGTTACTGACACGAATCATTCACTTCATAACTACATGGAACTTAGTTAACACTGTAAACTATACTCCAGTAGACATTGATAAACGAAAATGACCCTAATGGGTTTAGTAAGGTGTCGAAGGCAATCTTTTAATTTTATCCATGTTTTAACAAAATTCTTTGAATCGATGTATCAAAAATGATAAGTCTAAAATGATATGCCAAGACAGTTTGACGTCCATAAATCAAACGGACGTAGTAGTAAGCAAGTAGAAATGCCGCATACAAAGAAATCAATACACTGATCTAAAATAACTCGATCGATAAACTGCACTGTGATTTGACATACTCAACCGTTCCCATGATAAAGTATTCACGCTAGACCTCCTTACAAAGACTTGCAGTAATTACACCAATCTAGACTACAAAGCGGCAAATCAAATGATTAAATATTCATAGCGGGAACTACGAGTTGCTAAGAAAACAAAAATAGCCAATAAGTACGGAGAAATCGATTTTATAGAGTACAGTCGACAAGATAATCCGATTACACGCAACTACCTACTTAGAATTTCTCTCCGAACATTAATATTTTATAACAAAGGAATTATTTATATTTACCTCTATATAAGAGAGTATAAAAGAGGGATTTATGTATTTCTATCGATAAATTATGTACATAATAGATGTTTGATGTGGGCTTTGGGGCAAACGTTTTGTAGGTTTATTTATTTTAATGATTTAGACACGTGTATGTTTAGGTAACATGAATATGTACGTATGTATATCATAGCTTTTATGACCCCGACTAAGTAAGCGCCCACGTGGCATTAGGTTATTGTAGAAAAACGAAAAATATATTGTATGTCACTAGCTGATTATAGGAAAACAAACGTAGCAAAAATAATTATATAAAAGAATACCAAAATGTTCGCTAGGATAACATAATTTCTCGTGGAAAATTCTTATTGGTAAAACACGGAACATTTTACCTAACAATTCGACATTCAAATTGTCATTCGTCAACAATGCGACATGGGTACATGTCAAATGACATGTCCTTTACGTAGGTCCCTTCTATCTCTTTTTAATTAGTTTCCTAAAACTGTACTAAGAATAGAATAGATGTCGGTAAAGTGCCTAATGTTAGGGGGAGAGGAATTTGACAAAAGTTTAGTAGATACGTTTCAAAGTGACTTGCAAACAATGTTAGGGGCTGAATGTTTTCAGTTGTTCTTCAAAGGACTTTGTCTGAATTTAGTGCCTTCTTTGTATTTGTGTAGCTTTGTTTTATTTTATTTTAAGGAGCTTATTAAAATAATTTAGTTTGCTTAGTACTAGGAATCTGCCAATTAAAGTCTACTAATGGTGAGAAGTCGGATTATCTCTTAAAAAACATGTGAATGTTTAAGTAGTTGGTAACTTATTTCGGGGTAACTTTGAACACACAATGTGTAGAGGTTACATCGTGTTTAATTTCCTTTCCTAGAAGTAAAAATGTTGATATGAAGGAATACTTTTGCCCAACCCGGGTACCCAAAACTATCACAATAAATCTATAACAAACATTTTACCCCGTCACCCGTGGGAGTTGGGACTAGGGACGAGCTATTCTGGGTTTCCCAAACTCAGACAATTACACAACCACGTCCCAGATATTTCTAGGTGTTGCAGCCAATTCTGTCGCTCCCCCTAAACTTTAAATAGGTATGACCCACTTTAGGCTTTTATAACCTGATTCGCTATATTTGACTCTACCCCGAATACCAGTTACCTTGGGGTCTTTATATAACACTTTAATGTATTGACATTTTCGACTTTTATA